TTATTTTGCTATTTTCTTATGTCTTATAAGTTTCTTTAACCCACATTATTTTATCGTACGGTTGTGTAAGCCATATTGAATGTATCGGTATATAAATGTTTTAAGAGTGTAACTAATTGTAGCTTTTACTAGTTCAGCCAGCAAGTTTAAGTTTAAAGCTATGTTTAGGCGAAAGTAAGTATTATTCATTATGTATTTAAAAAAAATGCCGTACGTACTGTCAAAATATTTCACAAATCATAGCGAGAGATTGGGAAAATCATTGTTCAATAGTTAGTAGTCTTGAATATCGATACCGCTTCACAGATTGTCAATGGTGTTGTCTTAGTTTTTATACCTAAATCATTGAACACTGCACTTATAAGTAGAGGCTGTTTCGCCGCGGGCAGTACACGAATTAACTTGTGCCCAAAATCCTTCCACCGACGTGTACGAGTACAACTCCATCCCGCTGACGTATACGGTGACGTCGTTAGCCGTGCGGGAGCATCGGGGCGGGTAGTAAATTAAGCAAAAAACATCCCGCACCGAGCACCACAAAGCTCTAATTGACTACCGGGCATCGGTCGGGAGCGAACGCGGGACGCTGCGGGGTAAATAGAGCAAAAACGCGAACGAGATCATGCGGAATCATTTACTCCAATCACCGCTTGGTCGACGTCCCGCTCGGGAGACGGAGACGGCCGAACAAAGCCGAGGATGTGCAGGCACGGATCCATTACGAATGCCCATGGAGATTGGTTCCCATCGAGGCGAGCGTTAAATGCTGATGCTCATAATTCACAAACAATTTGTTTTGTTACATAGGAATTCTTGTACAATAGATTCTATTCAATAAGTTAGAGTCTATTCATTTTTCTCTCGTTATTAAGGACTTAGTCAATTTGATCATTTTCATTAATTTGATATTTGTAACATTTAAGCGAAGTCAAAATCTGCTTTACAGTAACAAGAAAACAGTGAACACTTTCCAGAGGATATCCGTCACATCAAAAGCAATGGCTAACAGAATTTCTATGTCGATAATCGCCTTTACTACACGTAATGAGCTCCATACGCCGGCCGTGCAACACATCTAGATCTTTTATCGATCCGGAGATCCCGATCGGATCTACGCATGCGCACGTTAATAATTATTTGCGCTCTTTCATCCGCCGACTTGACTTTATGACCGCCCGCGCTGTGTAAACGTCACAGATCATATTGCCATGTAAATAATTAATGGGCATTGCGATACTTAATAAGGAACATTTGGTACACGTTGGGATGCGATCATTGTTCAATGTGTTCACTAAGCATAATTTCTTAACGCTACAGATTCTCTGACAACAGAAAATTAAAAAAATAAATGTTAGAAATTGAATCGTATTAATAATTAGCGAATTTAAATAGACCGAAATTGGGTCAATAAGCACCAAATTTCAAGAAAATTATTTATTTTTACTTCTTCCATGATATCTACTACATATGACATAGGCAGGCTTTAGTTTCTGTCCTCACAGACAAAATATATAGATTAAAACTACTAACGATAAAATAACTAAAACAAAACAATAACAATTAGGTCTAAAACCTATCAAATGAATCTCATTTATGTCAATAAGATGTATCACGACGCGATGTTAAATCTCAGGAAGAAGAATTTAAATCACAATACAATACATTACATGTTATTGTTGTTTTCTATCATAGTCCGGTTGATTACCATCTTATTCGATTAGATATTCATTTGGTCATTATGTCAGCAAAGTAAATATGTTTTCAATACTGTTGCTTCAAAGCAGTCACTTAACAGTGTTTTCCATTTAAGAGGCTTGCTTTCCATTTAAGGAGGATTCGTACAGGAACACGCTCCACAATGAAATCTCAGGAACGGATGCACACAATAGAACACATATTTCCATCGCGAGCGGGAAACGTTTCAAACACTATCCCAGATCTCGTAACAACAATGCCTAATCGATAGCCGGATACATTCTTAGACATGTTCCCTATCGTCGCATCTCCACCAAATAACACAATAAAAAGTACGTCGCGGGCAAAGATAGCTTCGCCGTCGGGTGACTGACCATAGACAATAATCGGCACAATTGTTAAAGTAACAAGGATCAATTTGATATCGCCGATTTATTGGAAACGCACTCGCCGCTTGTTGCCTGACGTAACGCAACGGCCGACGTGATTCATCTCCGCGTCTTACAAATCGGGTATGATATTTTGATTCAATTAGTTAAGCAGGAACTTCCATATTGGTCCGCACACCGGAAAGTAAGCTACTCACGAAACATCTTGAATATATGCTCTGTGGTTGTTAAAGTTGTAGCATTAGACGTTTTAAATAATGTTAATTGTGCTTGTAAGCAATGAATATTTTTATTATTAATCGTTCATGTGAAAAGAAATAAATGGGTGAATTTGGCAACAGTTTTTTTTTAAAGTTTTCAATACTTGAATGTAGACTTCTTCTTTACAGATGCAATTTTCATTTCATCAAACATTGGATAAAAATGTTATATTTATTTCAAAATTTCACATTAATACACAAACAGTAAAAGTTGCATAACGCTTTTTAGCACTAGTGTAACTGGAACTTTGTATTACAATTAAACTGATCAAAGATAAAAAAAAACAAGTATCAATGCGAATACAAGTAACGCATGGATAGTTACAGGCATACATAAAACCGTCCGTATGTCAGCCAGATCTTTGTCCGTGCATACACCCATCGCCCCGCCTCATTACCTCCTCTACGCGATATACTATGAAATTTACTAGCACACCAAACAAGACACCAGTGTAGCTGGATCTCCGCTTTCAATAAAGCCCTATATAACGCCAATCACTGCTACATATCAAGTTGTTCTGGTCTTTACAACCAGAATCTTTATTTCTGCACTCCCACGAGCAAACACATCTCTTACGACAGTGCGGTATGGTTCAAAATGCAACGTCACCGGTCCACGCGACGGCATTTCTAAATTGGCGAGACTACGTGAATTGGTGTGTGTAGTAACCGCGTTTACATTTTAGAGATACTCGCACTGAATAAATGTCAATTGAGACGAACTGGCGGGGATGCGATGAGTTGCAGCGAGTTTGCAGTTATTGAACTCTCTGCCGATAGGGATCTGATTGGTGACGCTTGCGACGGGCGATTCAACCGTTCGATCTTAATTGATGTCTGTTTGTGGGCGGTTCTGGTTTCGAAACGTGATAATTAGTCCGGATGTTGATTGTCCAAGACTACCAATAGCCATGGAAGAACAAGGACAGCTATAAAAGCAATTATGAATCGCTTCATAAGTTTTTTTTATTAATGTCATTGTTGCAATCTATCAAATTGCAGATATTCAGCAATATGTTTAAGATGAGAACAGCTTGCACGATAGCCGTCCAATGACTGCTCCGTTTTCCAGTCCGAGGACGAGCGTCTTACAGCAAGGGCGAGGTCTATCACAGTGCTAAAGCGTTTATCACTACATCCCAACTTAACATCAGATAGTACTTAAGTACTAACTAGTCTGGTAAAAAAGGCAACGTCCACGATAGCTCAATGCTTAATTGATCGCAGCGGTACACAGAAGTACATAGATGGACCGCGTACTTGTGTACAAGAGAATCTTTATTAGGACATTGACATCGCTTATCGGGAATCTCGAATCGCGCGCCTTCAATCAGAGGCCAAGTAGCCGCCGAACTAAAAGACGACACGATTCAGCAGACGTTTGCTCGTTTTTCACTCGGCCAAATGTCAGTTATGGATTATGAGATCATGGAGCGCTTGGGGTATTAGTGACCGCAATTGTCTTATCAGGTAGTGGTGAAATCGTGGGAACGCAGTGCTCAAAGTCATTTCAGAATATCTCCGATCGGTAACTAACACTGTAGTGACTTTTACTAAGTGGATTTCATTATTTTGCAGAGTAGGTTTAAATATTATGAACTACTCACAAAAAAGTAATTATATGAAATTAATTGTTGCATTTAATAATGAAATGAAATACTTTTAAAATATGAAGGAACAGATGAGGATATTCGACTCAAATAGAAAAACGACATATTACTTAAAAAGAAAACTCGCACTATTTTAAGAATTAATTCCAAAAAGACACAATTTAAAAGGTCGGTACTGATATTATCAACCACATTTGCAATTCATAGATTACAACACAACGTAGACTTATATTTCTAGTGAAGAAATAAGTTAAAGTTAAGAAATATTCGTCAGCGGGCTGCGTCTAACAAATACACAGGTTTTAATCTTCCGACGACGACGGTGAACACAAAACCGAATTTTCAATACAATAAGACATGCGTACAGGTTTGGTACGGGCGTTCTGTATTTGGGAGGCGTAGTGGCGAGCGCAGAAGTGTTCTCGTGCCACGATTTCTAAAATCATCGCGGGCGAAAGAATTTCAAATCGTAAAGTATGTTAATGCAAAAGTGATGCGGATGAAAGGAGAAAAAATGAACAGATCAAAAGTCAAACGCACATAGCGGATAGCCGTCTTGCACTACATCTTATTATTAACTGATAAAAATCAACGGCACGTTAAAACGGGTTGATTTACAAAAACACTTTTGTGATGTAATGTACGCAGACGGAGAGTCAACGATCACTCACAATGGCGAGCGCTCTAGAGTGACTAGGAGAAAACATTGATTAATTACCATAATAATTTATTTGATACTCCAAAACTTGATACGGGGAGGGGCCGGTTACGCAAGCGGCGGGACGTTTAAGTTCTTTTCGAACTAAAAGTTTTATAGGAGCGAGATGCAAACGCAAACGCGTCCGGTATTGCCGCTAGTGACTTGGAAGTTATTAAAAGTTTCCAACATGATGAAAACGGTGCATTGTTCATTTGAGTATGATGCATGAAGGCGATTTGGCTCCTCCAAACAAAAGAATAAGTTTTTCGGATGGAGAATGTTTGGTTGTATCGCTACAGTCTATTAGCATTTTACATTTGTTATAGTTATAAACGTTTTTTTTTAGGTCTTCTATCGGCGTTGAATCACTTGGATCAAGTTCGCAAGAACTCCTTACAGACGACAGTGGACTATTCAAGATACGTAAAAAGGTAAAGTCATGCGCCGTTTGCAACAAGATGCTAACATAAATAAAATAAATACTGCAAGGATCTTGGTTATCGAGAGCACTTTCATTGCATGGACTGTACTGCGCGTGTTTTCTGCAAGAAGGAAGAAATGATTAGACATTTTAAGGTGGATTGCGCTTATGTCTCTTTAGTATTGTTGATATCATCTGTCATCATAAATTATAACTATCATCATCACCAAGATATTTCCTAGTAGTATTTTATCTCCTTCGTTTTTTGAAACTTAATTTAACTTTAAAATAATGCCTAACTTCGAAAGAAAATGTCTATTTGTATGATTAAATGATACACCCTGAATTAACTTTTGAAGCCGCTTAAAAACGCAAATTTGGTATTAACTCTGTTTTTTGAAGAATTATGTAAAGGAGTTAAACACATTATAGATTACTTTAACAATTGACGTTCTGTTAATCTAAACGAAAGTTTATTTTACAATACGGTTTCCAATTACGTAATTCATTCATTCCACATCTTTCTATTTCTAAAGTATAAACCGCTTTATAAGTTGTATGATGCTTTTTTGTCTCTGTCTATCATTTTTTGCTTGCTAACATTTTTGAGTAAAATCAAAGCCATCCACAGATATTCATTTGATACACGGTTGATGACGTCTTGCGTTTCAACCAGCTTTTGTGTTAATTTAAACATTGGAAACTGTATTGGTAATAAGTAAGAAGGTTTTATGTTTCTAAATAAGAAATTTACCTTCCCAACAGTGGCACAAGAAACGGGACGAGTCACTTGCCCACGGGTTCATGCGCTACTCACCTCTTGATGACTGTTCTGAGCGTTTCAGCGACTGTCCACACAACAGGAGCCAGACGCACTATCACTGCATCCAGGATGGCTGCGATAAGGTATTTAAATATTGCAATCCCGTTTCATATACCAATTTGAATTATACGTTATACTTACCATACACTTACTCAGATCGTTGCTTGCCCGCGATTTGTGTTGCTATTTTACTTTTTGATACGTCTATTATTCCTGTTCGTCATCCTATGTATCCATTGTGTAGTTGTATTTAAAAAAGTAGTTTATGTCTTATTTCAAATTATAATAAATTCCCTTTTTGAAATTGATGACAGTGAAATTTTCAATTTCATGTGAAGTTGGATATTTATCGCCTTAACCTGAACTGAATATTGTTGATTGTGCGTTGATCTGTTAATGTCCCTTCATACCTAGGTGTACATTTCAACGTCGGACGTTCAGATGCACGCAAACTATCACCGAAAAGACTCTGCGATCCTCCAGGAGGGCTTCCAAAGGTTTAGGGCGACTGAGAGTTGTGCCGCGCCTCATTGCGTGTTCGCTGGTCAGAGGACCACACATTTCCACTGCAGGCGGCCTGGATGTACATACACCTTTAAGAATAAGGCCGACATGGGTAAATATTATTACAAGCTATATTTAGGTATTCAATGAAATGAAGATATCAGTGGAATTAAATATTGATTACATATTGATTAAATATTGTTACTTAATAATTTAACTCCAAAAATGAAGTTCGATTTTATATAATGGATCCTTAATATTATTTTTATCTCATTTTTTTTATGTGAAAAGTTGCCAAACGAGCAGACGGTTCACCTGATGTTAAGTGAATACCGCCGCCCATGGACATCTGCTACACTTTAGAGTTCCAGATGTGTAAACAACCTTTTGAAAATTGGGCTTCGGCCACCTCACTCACCAGACGAAACGCGAAAGTATTATACTTCCACTTTACGCCGGTCTTCTGTGAGGTCGTGGTACTTACCCGGACAGCCTGCCCATTCGTGCAACAGCCGAGGCTGCTGCGTGGCTCTACCACCGTTATTTACCGTTATTTATAAGCTCAAATCACTTACTACGCGTGAAAAAAGGCCCGCATAAAAAGTAAAGTATAGAGTGAATTAATTTGCGATGATATTCATCATTTTTCGTAGAAGAATCACGAAAAGTATATAGCAATATTTCTAATGTGAAAAAATAACGTTTTCCTAACAGAAAAGCACAAAACGTACCACATCAAAGACGAGGCCCTTTCGAAGGATGGCTTCAAGAAGTACATGAAAAACGAAGCGTGTCCCTATCGCGACTGTAGATTCAGCAGAACCTGCAACCACATACATTGTATCCGACCGCACTGCAACTACGTGTTGCACTCAAGCAGTCAGATATTCACGCACAAGAGAAAACACGAGCGCAAGGAGCAAGAAATGAGCTTTGGGTAAGTTTACGAAAGCTTAAACACTAAAAAAACGGGGTACCACAAGGATCTGTCTTGGGCACCGGATTGAATCTATACATTTTTGCTTAAATGCATTCTTCTATGTAATATGTATATACAGCGTGTCTTTACAATAAATGAACACACATATAGAGGATAACTTTTTAAAATGGTACATTTACAGAGTTATTAAACTTTCCAAAACAAAGAATTTTAGAACATCCTTACGTATAAAACTGTAACGTAAAGTTCATTTGTAAAGGTCACAAGGCATATGAATGGGTTGAATGAATTTAAAAGAGACAAAACACAATGTTGGAAGGAATATATATATTCCAAATTATAGAGAAAAATATGATTTAATAATGTTGTTGCCCTTTCTGTAGGCTTCCGACATCAGTGATTCAGAGCGCGCTGATGCACCAAGGCGCGGATTTAAGCCTGTATTCCCCTGGAAGTAATATCCACGGAGAAGATGATATGTCGAGCTCGATGCTTGATGATTATTCCAATCCATACGTAAGTATTTACTTAGAGCTAATTTTATAGAGATTAAGAATATAACGATGTAGCATAATATAAAAAGTTCACGATAGATTATTTTTTACAGGGACATTGATAAAATCATTATGAACAATTGTTGTATTGTTACAGAATCCAGCGCTCGTGGAAGAAGTCTCTCGAAAGTACATAGATGTTTTCAACGGCAGCAAAGAGGCCGATGATAAATGCAGCAAGTGTAGCGCCCTAAATAAGCATTACCACTGCTTGTTCGAAGGCTGTAAAATGGCGCATAGGTTAGTGTTTATAGATTTAAATGTCTTCTCTTTTTGATTTAATTTCTATTCAGGACATGATTTTACACAACGTAATCTAGTGTAAAACTAAGTAATACTATGGGTGCTAGATAACTGGTTAAAAACACTTTTTGTGTAAATAAAATAAATATTACAGATATTTGAAATTGAAATTAATAATCTATCATTATTTTTCCTACGGTGCGGATCAAACTTACACCCTCTAGACAGGTTTAATTTCCACTGTGCCAACCAAGTCGCTCCATGTCTTATATGCAATAAAACAAATAGTCTATGCCCTAATACTCTCTTTACACAGAGGACAATGTCCAGCAGTGGGACACGTATAGTCTGATACTTCACTATAACATAAATCAAATGGTGCCGTTTTGATGCGGTTTGAATAAAAGCGTTAAACAAAACTGAAAATATGTTCTTAACTTAACACAAACTTAAAGTTCTTCTTAACTTAACACAAACTTCTGTTAATAAGAGATGTTGTTACCCACCAGCTGCCATAACACAATGGTTAAGCACGTCTTGGAGCACGAGCAGCAGAAGCAAGTGACGGAGGCGTACTTCATGACGTTTTCGAGGAACAACCCCTGCGGAAACTCCGCGTGCCAACACATAAGGGATATCACGCACTACCACTGCACCTGGGTAACGTATAAGTTAAATTTGCGATCATTCTGACTATTGGATAATTGTACCTCATTTATACGGTTAAGTTTTTCGTCTTCATCGAGTCTACGTTACTTCCAAAAGTATTCAGCAGATATAATTTTGCTGAATCTGCAGAATATGCTTGCATATTATTACCGTGGAGGAATTTCATCAGAAAACTTTTATTCGGTATACAGCTCAGGCGACGAAAATCACAAAGCTTAACTATCTTGAATATAAATCAGTTATGTATTCCAAGCAATTTTCATGGGCTTGATTGTTTCGCAGGAAAACTGCGGTGCCGTCATTCTTTCGTCGGAGGAGCAGCCGTTCAGGCGTCTGGAACACCATCGCCAGCACGCGATCCTCAGTCCAATGTCGCCTAACCTAGCGGCGAGATTCGCGCCCAACTTCTCGCCGCAGCTCTCGGCGCAACTGCACCCAAACATGGCAGCGCAGTTGGGCCAGGTGCCGAATTTGCCAAGCCTGCCGCCAAACTTGGCGCAATTAGCGCAGATGGCGCCGAGCCTGTCGTCCCAGTTGACGCCCAATCTTCAGGCCCAACTGAGCCTTGGTCCGGCCCCAGGAATCGTGCCGCAGCAGGTCAACCCATCCAGCTCTTTAGACGAAATGTTCAGCAGGAAGAGAGGACGACCCCCAAAAAACAGAGTGGTCGAAGTCTGGACCGATAACGTAAGTTTATATTCTCAAATTGCTGACGTCATTGCAAAGTTCAACTCATCAATGATTGGAATTGTTGATTGTAGGTAACGCCTCAAGCTATTTTTACCTCGTTCAAGCTTCCGAAAAGCAACCAATTGCCACCGGTAGCGCAATCTCCAGTCATAGCGACAGTTGAAGAATTCCCCGTAAGTAAAACGTTTACAACGGTATTTTTTAACTTAATATTTTAGTCGTTAAATTGTATTTCAAGAGAAAATCTTGGTTTGATTCAAACTATATCCGCTATGCTCTCCCTCATAGATATCGCTCAATTTTTATTAATGTCAACAATCTATTTCAGCGCATAAAATTCCAACACTTCGAAGTCTTTACGGCCCAAGACACGTGCTCCCAGTACTATCCCAGCTGCCAGCTCAGAATGTCTAGGCTGCATCTGCACTGCTTCAACTGCAGTTTCGCTGGGGAGACCCACGTGATAATGGAGACTCACATGAGGGAGTCCCACTCAATCTCGCCCCTGCTCGAGGGCTTCGACCATTTCACCTCTTTCGAGCAGTGCGGCGGCAAAAGCTGTTTCAAGAACCAGCTGAGGTCACACTTCCATTGCGCCCAAGGGAACAGTTGCCCAGCGATCTTGACTCAATACTCGGCGCTGGCTACGCACAAGCACGGCCGGGGAACCCCAGTGATCAAGAGCGAATCAGACCAGGAGAGGTCTTTTGACGAGGCCAAAGACTATTCCATCAAAGAGAGGGCGTCAGCAGACAGCGTCAGCTCCGCGAAAGAGCCGAACGAGTCCTACACCCCGACCAATTTCTCTATCAAAAGCGAATTTGAAAGGGAACAGGATAATGTTTCGGGTACGTATTCCTTCAAGGCATATGTTAAATTTGAGTTTTCATTAAATTTCTGTATCGTCTATGAAAATACCGATATGTCACATGTGTGATACCGGGTCCTAGACTTTTTATAACTACTTATCGACCTTTTTGTGTTTATAAAGCGTGAGTTTTGCGTTGTTGTCAACTTGACTAGACAGTGGCAACTCTTAAATCTCTCAACTACTCGTATTATATTAATATTAATGTACGTGAGGATTATCATTATATGCAGTGCTCTAGTCGGAACTTGACAAATTGTCTTAATTTCAGTAGTAAAAGCGACGGGAACCTTCTACCCGTCATCGCATCTAAGAAGCAACACCTCGTCACCGTCACCGAGGAGCTTATACGACGCGTCACCGTCGAAGGACATGAAGTTCCGCATGGACTTCGAACAGAAGAGGTCTTTCGAGCCTCCAAAGCTATCGGGCCCGACAATACCGCCTTCCTGCCACGACCAAGCCTGCCCACTGAACAAGAATGCCGGTGGGATGAATCTGCATTACCACTGCCCCACTGCAGCCAAGCTTACGTTGACCTGAAGCTGCTGTTCAGCCACATGGTGAAGAAGCACAGCAACTCCATGGAGTCTGGGCCAGTAGGATTGCAGGCAACAAAAGTAAGTCATTAATAAAATATTTGGAAAACAAAACATTAGAAAAAAATTCTTAATATTACTCTTTCGTCACGTACTTGATATTGTTATCTTAAGAAATAATGATGTGCTTCGTGATTTCAAGCTATTTATTCAGTAATAACAATGTGTCAAATTATGTTGATTGTTTCTTAAGAAAATTTTGGATTTCCGTTTGATCTTTATCAAGACTGTTCTTAACCTTCCGACATACAAAGGGATGAATCTATAAATAACGGCTTAACTATTTTCATCATCATGACATTAATGATAAAATATTTACGCAGGAAACTCTGGAAAGGGAATACCCCGAAATTTCAATACTACCATCTACCGCCTCCTCATCTTCAGCAGCTCAAGCGCCATCACCAAGCCAAAGACCACCAAATCCGGCCGAGCAGGTAAGAAATCATAAATAGTTTGGTTTTCATATGAGGTATGTTGTATAATTTTCTTTCATGACTTTTGTAGGATTTTGTCTAACTAAATAAAAAAACTTCCATCTTCGATGATAGTAGTATTATTGATCTATGAAATGTTGAACACATACCATTTAGGCGCAGTTTCTATAGATATTTCAGGAATACCGTATTCAGGGGTACTAATGTGGGTGTCTGTATATTTTGTTTTGCTTTATTTGAAGTATATTCCTAACTACTAAGACCAAACATCATTGAGTATTAGCGACCATTCATTTTCATGTCATTTCCTATTTCTTCATTGTTTCTCAAGTAGGTCACTTCGAAATTTGGTTTATATTTCAAATAAGCTTTTGCCCGTGCAGGTGCAAGCGGTACAAAGTCTGCTCTTGCAGCAGTACTTGGCCGGAGGGCGCAAGGGCAGTTTGCAGGAGCAGTTGAAGATGCAGCAACAGTACACTGCGTCTTTGGCCGGTCTGCCGGGTTTAGCGCAGGTCGCGCTATTCTCGCAAGGGTAAGCCCCATGTTTTAATAAGTGGCAAAACAGTATAACCAATACAGATCTTTGACAGTGTTAACCATCTCGCATCGTCGTTTCGACCAGACCATCCCTCCAGCATGTACTAATGAATACATTTTTTTTAATATCCAACGTATAGCACTCAAATTTTTACGTTTGTCAGGAGTTGCTTACTGACCTTGGTGAAGGTTATTGATTTGAATTTGTTAAACTATAATGTCCGTATTTACTCGGCGGCAGCATATTTACTTGTCAAAGTTCTATAGATCTATGTTCCATGGGTAATATCTGAAGCCTAAATTTATTTTCTCTTTGCAGAGGCTCACCTTTTCCTTTGTACCCAACGATGCTGTATCCATCCGAATTGCTTCTGGAGCAAAGCCTACTGCAAGGCCATGGTATCCCACCAGGGTTGGATAAGGAAGCGGAGATGATTGCCAAATCGTGAGTATATATTATCATTTCCAAACAGATTGTATGTTGATATCTATATCATTTTGTGATGATCATTCTAAGATAGTAGATTTTTCTTAAATCTATCCTGTTTTCTTACAATATTGTCTATTACTCTCCATTTTTTATATTATTGTTCCAATTAATAATAATATTCAACACTGCATTATCATAAGCAGAAACGTTTTATTCATGAAGTTGCTTAGTAAATGAAAAACTATATTTGCTGATTCAACCAGTGTTAAAGAATTATATAGAGAGACGGTCGTAGCATTATCCATTAATTTGGAGTTTTTAGAGATATACAATAATAATACTCATCGCCCGGGCTTTAAATTACTTATATTAATATAACTACCTACTCGAGTAACAACAGATTTCAAATCTCGATACTGGCTCCAATGAAATTGTTAATTTCAATTGTAATTGTTAAATTATCAAGTGCTAAGCGTGGTGAAGTGGTGAAGGAAAACGTTTTGAGGAAACCTGCATATTTTCGAAAAAATAAAAAGGAAAAAAGAAATAAAAATTTCAAGAAAATATTATGTTAAGTTTGCTAATCCGTCGCGCGGTGTACTATGCATTAATACCATCAGTACAGAACATATATATACATATACTGTTTCTTTACATCTTTTTTCTTTTAATAAAAGCATGTAGTTTAAAGATATGTGGAGTCTGCCAATCCGCAGTGTGTTCCCGTAGGAATAGCCCTTGTATGTACACACGAGGCCTTTGCTAAGCGGTGGAATATAGGCCGTTACGTATTATACTTTTCACTTTAACTTATCGATGAGACTTATCATTGGGTTCCAGTAGGAATAGCCCTACGCCCTCTGTACACAGGAGGCCTTTGCCAAGTGGTGGTACATAGGCTGTTGCATTGCTGTTTCTACTTTAACTATGTGATGAAACTTTTAATTGATGTTACGCAAATGCCGTTAGCAGGCGCACGCACTCCGCAAGGGGGCCGCACATGCGGGTGATGAAGGACGAGCCCATCCCCGAGGGCTACCTGAGATTCAGGTTCAACGAGGACTGCGCGTATCAGCACTGCGGCTATAGGTGAGTGGAAATCTTCGAAACGCATAAGCCATCACGTCGGATCTAACGGCTAACTTCAAAACAGGAGGTTCTCAATTCAGTGGCATGCTATTTTTTATGTTTGTCACCTCAACACTTTATTGATGATAAATGACGGAGTGTTTACGTAACAAAGTTTTAACGTTGTTGTTTTTGTTTCAATCAACCCGCGTTGGGTTTAAGTGGTGGACTATAACCTTATACCTTGTGAACAGAGGAGGCTTTTGCCCAGCAGTATCACATAGCTAGGCTGTTACTCTAGTTTACTCACACCTTTAATCTGTTTTATTTCAAATAACACCTTTAATCCGTCTATCTCTCTCCCTCTGTTCGTTTTCAAATTTGTTCGTGATTTATTTGATTTGTTACTTCACAGGGAGCACCAAACCCACTTCCACTGCACACGGAAAGACTGCGGCTACTCGTTCTGCGATAAGACCAGATTCGTCCAACACACCGCGAGGCACGAAAGGTAATTTGATTCCGATCGCAAGACAACTTATAATACAGCAGATATAAGAGTATAGCAACATTTCAATGACATATTCCAGAAACGTCATACACAAATAATGCTTAGGATTCATCTTTATTATTACGTACGTAATTCAGCCACTGTCTCGACTAAAACACATAATATGAGTATGTGGAATTTTGCCGCCATCTATCGGACTTCTTTGGATATTTTTCGCGCAATTAAACCGGTGGAAAATCTTGTTAGTACTTTGTCAAATACAAAACGCATCCAGACGCAAACCGTGTACATCTGTAAATCATAAATAAACTGTTCTAGTAAATTCCACATGCCTGCGATATTTTATAGGAATTTTTACCGAACTTTCTTATTTGTCTTCCAAATGTCCCATTTAATTTTTACTGTATTTAAGAGGTTATTTATGACAAACGCCACTACACGGTGTTTTTAAATAAACGGAATCAATGAAAACATATCATGGAACGTGTGCATATGTGCAGAAAGCGCCATCTCTATCACAATTATTGCATTAGAAAGAGAAAGTCAACTTGAACATACATAAGAGAAATCCTCCCAAACGGTCATACTAAGCAGATGGCGTTATAATAGAAAATAAACCTTAATTAAAAATGATTAAAAGTATCGAATTTTTCATGATATAACTTCATTCATATATTCGATTCTTTTGTTTTCTATTACTACAATGTGCTCTAAGTAATATACCTTCTTGTGTCTCCATAATTCATGGCTTTTAGGAGCCAGTGTGAATATGTGATTTTACAGTAAGCATTATAGTATACTACTTTTACGATCGCGGCTTCGCCCGCATTGAAGCCCTTAAATAGATATCTTTAAAAAAAATATACTTTTAATAAAAATAATCCCATGTCCTTTTTTTATACTTCTAAGAATATGTGTACAAACTTTCATGATAATTGGTTGAGTAGTTTTGACGTGAAAGCGTAACAAACAAACTTACATGCACAATTTTATATTATTATACTTGGGATACATCAGGAGTCTCCTATGTAGAAAAAAATTTTATGGTTACATTTTAAATATCGATGAAAGACAAAGTTAACTTTATATATAAAAAGCGAACCACGGTCGATGAGACACGTGCGGGGGTCGAACCTATCGTTGATCGGTCACTTTAAACTGGTTCTAATCACAGATTGGACACGCTCATGGGTGGCGATTTCCAGCAGTACCGGGCTAATGTCTACTGCCAAAGGGCAGAATGCCCTCACGCTTCTACGTTCGGTAAGTAATCGGATGCCAATAAACATAAGAATACAAAGTAAACTTAAACCCTAGCAATGACGGCTCTTATTGACAATACGAAGACGAGCCGCACAATTCTGCAGTAGCTATAGTGAGTTAGTCATAGATTTGTTGGTTATAAATACTTTTTATTGGTTTAGTATTTATCTGAATTTTTTTTACTGTGGCAAATGTTAAGCGGGTTATGAAAACTATTTCGTAATTGCGTTAGTTCATTTTTATTAAAAAAAATAACTATAACAACTGCAAAGCCTCCGTACATTAAGGTCTTTGCGTATTTACATATGCAATTGATATTCAATTTAGTAGTGACTGCAATGATTATAGATGGCGACGACATTATGATACATGTTCAGGTGGTACCGAAAACGTTTATTAACTCCTAGCTGGTTGTTTCCAGGAACAGGCCAGAACAAGGCGTCGCACTTCCATTGCCTCAAGTGCGACTTCGTCTGCACCGACACCAACAAAGTGGTCGCCCACCGGCGCCAGCACCAAAAGCTGGACTCCATCCAGGCCGCGGGCTTCGAGAAGTTTCCACCTAGCAAAGGTAAAATCGTGTATAATGAACAATCGGACCCCAATGTTGATAGCTATTATAAGCGTATTAAGTTTAATGTTTAAATGAATACTGCTGTGCTTTACTTTAAGCGATTTAAGAACATGGACACAACACCGACCCTTGGGGAAACCGTCACATATTTTTATTCTTCCAGGATGCGGCTATGAGCCTCAGTGTATTCACAGCAAGAAACAGACCCACTACCACTGCCTGCAATGCGGCTTCGCCGTATTGGGTCTCTCGCAGATGACCTCGCACAAGTACAAGCATCAGGAAGCGAACCTTGGACCCTCTACGAGCGCCGGCATCTGAACCAACACTCCGTACAAATGGTGTAACAAACACACAAAATACTTTATATCGGAAAGAACCTTATTGAGTGTGTAAAGTGTACGATAGAAGAAATCTATACAGAGACTGAGCGTTCAGACTTGTTCCAGCGTTAATTGCGAAACGGAAATCACTTAGTATACGAGCTTGCTTATTCGATTGTAATTTCCGGTCGGTTAGTCTCGGTTGAAGCTCCGATCGATGCAATAGTATGAGTGTCCATCTAAATTGTGCCTTAGATGCAAGTATTAAGATTATATTTAGAGCAACACGCGACTAATCGTGTGCCAAAATTATTATAAGGAAAGTAGACACTATATTATGAAGGAGAATTATTATGAACTAACATATAGAGAACGTGTGTTCAATTGCTAAAATGCATTTTGCATTTGAAATTGTAATGATTTTAGACATAAAGTTGATTAGTGCATGTTGAAGTGTGTATTTTCCTAAATCCCGACCAATTTTTAGGTGTTAGATAATAAAAAAAAATATTTATATTTATTACTTCCCCATGAGAAAAGACATTTTTACGAATAGTATTATTAATTTAGATTTCGTAAAATGAAAGGCAATAAATGTTGGGTTCAAAACGCCATGTTGTGCCTGGACTAGCAAAGTTGAGACAATACCGTTCAGCGATAGTTTCTGATGGAGGATCGCGGATTTGAAAGACACGAAAGTCGCTTGAATCGGATAAAATCTAATATTTCTTTTCCACCAGAGACTATCGCATAAACTCATAGATTAAAAAAGCAAAAATATATTGAAAAAATCGTATTTAACAAAAAAAAATGTCAATTTTATAAACATTGTAAATAAGAATAGATATATATTAAAAAAAAGAACACTATGTTAATAATTGTTACAGATTTTTTTCGGATTGAAACGAAGTGATGTATGTAAGAGATCAATTCGGAAACTAGTGTACAGGAAAACGAGTGCTAATATTTGTGATTCATGAGGTAGCCATAAAATGCCATATAGCTTCATACATATTTTTAGATGGTAATGTTGAAATTTCGCTAAAGTCTTCGAGTTTGTGTAGAGCGGTTGTTCGCCGATTGAGTGAATTTAAAATTGACAATACATTAAGTTGGTGACGATGTCTATTAGAAATGAGATTTTATTGCGTTTTCGATATATACAGATACGTTTGTAACAGTTTTTGATCAACCCGATACAGAAGTAGAGTTGACCTTGCATTCCCTGTCGTTAGACTCCCGTTGGCCGACTTTGTCCATTCCCGGTAGTGTAGGTCCACAAGCGGATTGGAGGCCGTATTTGGGGTCCTATTCCTAGCTTTTATCAGTATTTTCGTAGATTAAGCCCCCTCCTATCGTTCCTATCACTCGATGTTTCAACGTCGTGTTCCTTTTACAGCAACCGCCACCTACGGCTTATTTTAAATGTATTTGTTTAGCGATAGCACCTTTGCATTGTGCGTCGCGAAGAGTTGAGCTTGTCACCTTCGGTATTTACGCTAGTAGTCCGTGCCATAACGTTTAGTCATGTTTTGAATTTAATTATACTTATCCAGTAAAGTAGATCAGTTGTGTCTTTTTATCACTGACCGGTTTCTTCTTTGAAACGGATGCAGTTCTCTCTTAAGGAACGAATATTTCTTGTCAACTGTGCAGTAACGTGGAAATTATCATAAACGAGCATTTTGAAACGTTTTAATTTGTATCATTATTGGTTGTTACGATTCTTTGTTTTGTTATGTAATTTTATGTTTAACGTTTTCTTTTTTATCTCGTGCATCTTTTACGTTTTTTTTTTCTCTCTCTCGCGCCTCACACAAAACTGTCCTTTTAATTATATTAATCGAGTATTTATGTATTTTTGTAGCGTAGAGTAAAATTTAGTTTATTTAAAATTTAATTAAAATTCGCAATGAAATACAGTATTTCGTCAGCAGAGTATTATATCGAATGGACTGCGAAGTGATTTATGTGAAATTCTCGGTGTTTCGTACAAAATCGATTATTTTTCATTGTCACTCTTTGTAAGTAGTATCAGAATATATACGAATTATAATTTTAGCAATTTTATTCTTTTGAGATTAAAACGATTGGTATAAAAATAGTTTAGTGTTGTTTACCTCATGAGTTCTAGAAATTAAATGAGAATATCTAAAAGCTTTTTCGTTTTATTCCCAACCCCGATATTTTTATGGCCCTATTAAATTAAACTGATAGAAACCATAGTATATCTTACTTCAAGCCAAATACTCGTATTATTCTTTTTTGTCGTAATTTCTGTTTTAAATCATGATTACACCACTGACATCTGTGATTAACCACCGATGTGTAGCGACTGTGGTACGTAAACACAGCAATTTCTGCTTTTGTACTAATGGGCAGATCATTGACTTGAAATGAAAAAACCATAAATGAAACAGATAAATGGATAATTACATTAATTCCGGCGATCGTCTCTGTATTCTCTAAGGAGAAAATCAAGTTAAACTACTACATCCGTCAAACAATGTAGATAAAAGACGTTGAGTACAAGAGTATTCGTTGGTTGGTTGGATTACAACAAACAACAGTTATCAATAATACCTACTAGTCCAAAACCAAAAGAGACGTCTCGAAGTCACCTTGATAACGTCCAAAAGTTGTTGTTAACTGGTATTACACTATTCAATACACCATATGCTGTGAGATCCAGTATATAAAACGATGAATTTAAATAGTTGTGTATTCTGCAAACGAATTGGAAAGGCTAAAGTTAAAAATTTACAAGTAGTACTCTGTACTCGTAAATTCTGCTTACAAGGGTGTAAAAATGTTAATAATATATAAATGTTAAAAATGAATAATTACCCGCATTCCATTTTAAAAGTTATAGCTGGTTTTACTTTTATTGTAGAATTTATAGGTTAACGGGTGAATTTGGTTTTTTTCGAAGAGGGTTTTGATTTGATCCTTCAGTGGAGATTGATTTTCTTAATGACAACATCACTATTTTTTTTTTTTCATTAAACAGTCCTCTCTACTCCAATTGAAAACTTGTAACTGATTTATTTTCTTGATATACTTAAATACAATGCAAAATATTTTTTCTGAAATTTCTGACTATCTTTTCTGATTATTGAGGCGCTGCATTAAATTTGACCGTAAGTATTATATTTTACATTTATACAACCTTTCCCAACATGTAAAATAATTTTCAGCTTATTCTAGCAATACAGATTACTATTTTACCGATTGCTAAAACTTTTCAACACCTTCAAAATGATCTGAAAGTATATGACGTATATTAAAAATTTCTTCTGGAGGTTCGTTTTCATATCGAACAATGGCTGAAAGTGATATCGGTTGAATAAAGGGAAACTCTGTTAAAACAGTTTTTAATCTACTTTTATTGCTTCATTGTATTATATGAAATACAAATTCTACGAGTATGTCCTAAATTCTCGGTGAAAAGTCTTTCATACAATTGCAAAACTGAAAATTAATCCTGCCATTCTAGAACGTAAAGTCATTGAATGTTCTGTACAAGAGTAGTGCTCAAGCTTTTAAGACCTCTTTTGTTCCTCGCTCCAAGCTTTGCAGTGATAAGTGTATACCATAATTTGAATTTAACTCTTTGTTCTTTAATGTCATTTGAGTTTTCAAACGTTATTTAATTTGTATGTGAATCTGATACAAGCCGCCCTCGGTAACTCCTCACTCATATAAATTCCAAGATCAAATTAATAAAACGAAATACGACCAATTTATTTATATTATTTTAATCTTAATCGTTGCCCGTGGTTTATTGTAATAAATAATATAATTAGGTCTATATTGAACGAATTAAGAGTTTTTTCTCGATGGATATCCACTGCTGGCCAAAGGACTGCTTTGTACACAGAATAGTGAGATATGGATAACATATCTTATTGTATACACGTATCTTTGAGATATTTTTCTTTATAATCACATTGAAAACATACAAGTTTTCGCCACGAATTCAAGGTTGTTAGACCATACTAAAAATTATAAGATAACGTAAACTGAGCTATCGTGGCTCATATTTCTTTGTAATAAATATTTTTTTATTTATCTGTTTATTTAGGCTTACCAACTAAATATATACAGATCATTATTAATAAAGATTTACAATTACCAATAGAATTATACTATATAATATGTATTTAACTTAAAGGTATGCACAACATTTTCATATGAAACTTAAAATTAACAAATGATGAAATGTTTATATAAACAAAAAACATCATTCTATGCAATACAATTAATATAAGTTGAGAGCTTAACATTTCATAATTTAAGGATTTTATTTCGAGTGTTTAATTGTTGTTGTAGTAACCGACTTGTACAAAAACTTGTAAAATCTAAGGCCTCGTGATTTTAAGTAAACCACACAGAAACGTTACTATGTTGAGAAGCCTATTAATAAACCATTTGACAATATTTCGTAGAAGTTTTTACATAACTTCTATCCAGTAACAACTGTGTTTTACTGATTTTATTACGCAAAAGTAATAAATACTTTGATAAATGCAAACATTTCTAAATTATTGAACATGATAAATTGGAAACATAGTAAAAGTATACAGAAGTTTTATAAAAATAATATTAAATCATTTGAAAGAATGCACACAGAATACAGTTGAACAAAAATTATAGTTCGGGGTATTTTTCAATTTGGCCGTTCCTTTTTTAAGGTCACCACTGCTTGCCCAGACTTCATGTATTTCTGAAATATCTCCTTAATCTATGAATTTCTTTTAACTTTAGTTGAGAATTTTAAAAGGTTCCGCTTACATTTTAGTTTTTTTTTTAATGTCACAATGTATCAAGTCACTCCCGCCGCTCATGAGCATATCTACCAAGACCTGTGGGGTGCTAACCTAAATTCATTTTTTATCAGTAATGCCTTTATTTACCCCAAACTGTTTATGTTGAAAAAAGATAAAAAAATGTATTATCAGAAATATGTATATACAATGTTACTAGATATCTGCA